CGTTAGTGTCCACGACAGTGGCCGCGGGGAACATAATGTCCCCATGATCTGAACTGTTATACTGCTGCAGTGTTACTGCTGGCGATAAGGGCTGGTTGTTTTAACAATTTTCTGATGTCCATCACTGACTGCTGTGTAAGCACCTTGCAGATGACGAACGTGCAGCGTCACAGGTCACGCACACCTGACATAATAACGTTACTTACCGTTTAAATTGACCAAATAAATGCAGCAGACAATTTTATTTAACCACAATTACAATTTTTTTTATTTCAACTAAATTCTTCTTCTTCTTCTTATTATTATTATTATATATGTAATATTTTTCACTTTTCATTTTTCAAATGAGGGTGCATAACGACTCAACTGAGTGTGCAATGCACCCTTATTCACCCCCGTAGAACCGGGCCTGTTTCGAATTCCAAAGCTACTTTATATTCAAGAAAGGCTACCGACTTTAAATCAGATGGACAGAAATTCCCAATGGAAAAATCCAAGTGTGTGTGGCCGACTCCTGTAGCTGTGATGTTCCACAGTGTCACAGCAACCAAGGCACAACATATTAGTGTAGAGAGGATATACTTCTCAGAGACATCAGACACTACAGGTGGTGCCAATAAAGCAGTGACAGAAATCATATAGGAGTTCTACTTTACTGAGCCAATACTAACACGGGCCAACGCCAGAGTAGATCCTCTTTCTGCTTTACACATATTTGGCTCCTTATTCGTAATGAGCCCACCCCAGTTTTTAATACTTTTCTTTCCAAATGGAACAAAAAGAAAATTGGGCAATCCAAAGGCCCTTACTGGCAGCTAGTGTGCAACCGGGATTAATTCTGAGTTATCCCATGAACTGAAAATAACCAAGAGTGCAAGCTGGCAAAATTGAAGCCGCTTGTCCTCTGTGTGCTGATTGGCAGTGATGCTGTAAAACTGTCAGCTGCAAGATGAAGAGACAACAGATCTGTGAAATTAAAACCGCGTCGTGGTCTAAATGTGAAACCTCTTGGGTGGAGTCTGTTATTCGGCTTTTTAGCCACTAGCCGAAGCAATGGCGCTGATCTTCGGAGGCAATGTTGAATGGTCCGTTGGTCCACAGTTTGGTCTGAAATGTCATCCCTACTCTTCGATAGGTTGCCCTGACATGTTTTTACACACATTCATGGTCCCCAGATGATGAGGACTACTGAAACTGGAGGCACTGAATTTACCTCTAGCACCACCATGAGGTTGACATTTTTGTTTTTTAAGTTAAATATCTGAACAACTATTGAATGGATTGTCTTGGAGTTTTGTGCTAAAGTTGAATCCCCTTTACTTTAATGAATTCCTGTTCTTTTTATTTCAACTATCTCCAAGGATCAAACTTTTTATTTATCCAGTGAATTATATACATGTTCGCCTCAGGGTGAATTCTTTTTGTGACCTAAAATGAATTTTTTAATTTACTTGTTTTTATTACATTTCTGTGACAACTTACTTCCTTATGATTTTTTTTTTCTTTATATATGACATTTTTATGACTTTATATGGCGAACTACACTTTACAATTTAATTGAGCATAGAGAAATTTTTATGACTTTTTCTGCTTACGTTTTATATGCTTTTGTTTATGGCTTATTGGTTTTGGTTTTGCACGATAAGTGTCTACTTGAGTATGTATGCCGATACAAAATGATAGTATCTTATTTTGAAAGTATGAAAATAAAACATAGTGTAGTATATTAATATCAATTTTTGTAACATGTCATAAAATATGTCAAAGTCAATGTATAGTTTGTCATTAATGTTAAAAGAAGGCACAGCAAAGTGTATCCAAAAAAGAAGTCCATAAAATATATCGAAAATTCATTATATAGTTTGTCACAAATATCATGATAAAAGTAGTTTAGTACGTAGAAGAAAATGCTTAAAATTCATAGTAAGGTATGTTAAAAATATCATAACAAAAGTTATATCAGTGTGTCAAAAAAACATTTTTAAATGTCATAGTAAAGAATGTCAAAAAAAAAGAAGTCATAAAATGTTGTATAAAAATGTTTTGACTAATATATAAATTATTTTTGAGTTTTTTCAACAGTTAAAACTAAATATTACATTTTGATTATGTTATACCATTTGCATATTAATCATCATAAATACATTTGAATACTTTCACTTTGAATAGCTAACATTTTACATAATGCTGCGTTCCCCTGTCACGTATGTATTTACGACTTTGCAGTAGCTGTTAACAAAAGAATCATAATACCTATCAACCGCCGAGCACATGCACCCATAAAATAGATGCTTGCTTCCCCAATAAATGTCTTCCCACTTTCTCTGAACATGATTTTACAAGATGTACCCAAAGAAAACATGGCATGCCTTCAGATAACAGTAATGTGACGGCACTAAGGTCAGACTCGTTAAATAGGCTAGTTGAGGTTCGGTGGAACATCAGACACTGGGGAAGGCCTTCATCAAAGAGCCACCACACCAGACTGCTAGGTACAATGATCCAGCAGCTGCCTCTCTAGACTCAGCTGCTCCCCAGCGACCACCCTGATGGGATGTGAGGCCACGGGTTCTCTGAGCAACCTCTGAGGGCAGCGCTGTGGCATCAAGGCCCTCTTTTGATGGACGTCGCTCCTAAATCTTGTCATCTCCCGTCAGAATAGCTGAGAGGTTGCCCGGCTTTGACAGCTCCGGGGGGGGGGGGGGGGGGGGGGCAAGAAACAGTCTATGCTATGGGTTTGTTATGTGGCCTTTCATTAATATACTGCCACACGAGAGCAGCTGTGTGAAGTGAGCCTGTTGCCGAGCAGATAAAGATGGCTCAATGTGAGAGGAGGGGGTGTGTGTGAGCATAAACACTGAGCAGAGGTTGCGCTTTGATGGTTGTAGTGTGTATAACTGTGGCGGTGGTGGTCTTATCTGGTGTGGGGCTCCCAAGTGTGACCCAGTGTTGACCCCCCCTATCTTTAAAAGGAGGTGGAGCGGGCGCACTTGCCATTCTGAAACCTTTGCAAGATTCCTCGGAGTCTTCGAGTGCTGAGATGTACGTCTGAAACAACAGTGAGGCTGGCTGAATTTCATTAACACAAAGGACTGACGGCGTGCCCACTACCCTCAACAAGATGTGGTTAGTTCTCTGTTTTTTATTTTTATGTGACCCTTAAGAAGAAGTTATTCACCTTTACCCGGTGAAGAGGAGAGTAAGAATAGTCGTGGATAGTGACACCTCCAATGTCACATCAGCACACTTCCAGACTGAGGAGATAATACTCTATCAATCAAAGTGGCATGAAAACAGGAGGGGGGGGACTTCTACGTAAGCTAGGCTACCCCAGGACTCCCACCAGTAATATTAACTGCCATAAAGAGTCTATAATAACTGACCAGTAGCAGCTTTTGGATCACCCTTCCCAACCATTAATGCAACTCCTTCATTTTCTTCCAATCCTTTTTTCTGTGTGATTTTCTTTTTCAGACTCTTGGCAATAATGCGCCTGTAACTGTGCACTGCCTGGCCGACACCTCCCTAAAAATAGTGCCCACTAATCCTCAAGTCCCCTCGGAGAAGTACCGCACATTACCAAGGCTTGACTAGCACCTCGACAGCATCACAATCTACAGGGAATGGGAATTTTAAATTATTTTTTATATTTTTTTATTTAGGCATAATGTATTATCCGGTGAGCAATGGCCGCTGTATCAGACTTCAGAGTAGGCATGAATCCAGAGATATTTAATACGTTGATCACCAGCACCCTGCAGGGCTGCACCCTCTGGTGGGGTTGATGAATACAGCTTTTAACAGCATGTGTACATATGTAGTAGCAAAGTAGCAGTGAGATCAGGTGGTTTCAAAATGGCAAATGTGTCAGCGGGGGTTTACATCGTTACATGGAAGCTTTGAAATACATTTGGCTGTTGCTGGTTCAAACTGTGAGCGATATGTGTTGATATGTTTGTAAATCTTATGGTTATAATTCCCCACTATTTTACACATAATTTCCAGTAAGGCAGTCTGCAAAATAAGCCTGGTGGTTCAGCAAAACCTAGCCAGCATTTGAAGGCTAATTTGTAGTTGCTAATAGCATTGTATAAATAAATAAAAATAACACCATTTTCATCGTGTTGATAACTTAAGAAAATGCAGTTCTCACTTACTTTAAAACGTTCTCACACGCTTGTCAAGTCTCCTCATTAATGAAGCTTAGCAAGTCATCCTTTTCCGTCTCCGTTTCATTTTGATGAAAGCATTTCCTCTCAAAGCTAGTTAGCTCGAACACAGTTTGCACACAGAGCTTTTCACTGCATGGTGCTTAAATGTTATGTAGCGCATTGGGAGTGTGTGTGTACATCACCGGTCTAAGGTAACAAACTGTAGCCCCCTTGTCCTATTGGGATCCATAACTGTTAAATTTTACAAGCGCCTATAAGTCACTTCAAACACATAATTTGTACGTGATGATCAGTGTGGCATGACATAAATCGTCGTGTGTAACGCACTTGAGCTGCCTGGAAGGCTTGAAACTGTATGCCAGGTCTCCTTCTGGCAAACTGGTATATAGTAAAAGGGGTCAGCAGTTAGAGAAACATATACCCCCTGTAGAGATTCTGTAAAAGGAGACCCAAAGTGAAATGGACATCTGGGCCAACTCCCATGCCTTGTCCATTAACTGAAAGGCCCTCTGGTACCATCTCTAAATCGGTTTTCCTGCGCTTAGAATGCACAACGCCGTCAGAGACTATCCGTGAGGGATTTTCACATTGAAAAGTCACATTAATATTGAGCCTTGTGAGTAAACGAGGCAAAATGTTGTGCAAAACATTCCCACACTGTCAAATTAATAGCAAATGAGGATCAATACCCACGCCTGTTTTAGATGACAGGACATGGTTAACATTGAGATTTCACACTGAATTCAGAACATGTGTATCCAGTTCTTTTGTACCACAAATAATCTCTGAATCCATCAGATGTTATTCAAAACAAATCGAGAGACGGCAGACTGGACAGTTTGTCTTTAATAAGACGTAGAGAGCTCCCACTGACCTTGTAACGCACATCAAAATAATTATAGCATATACACGCACCAGCATTTCAAATACACGACTCCATGAAATCTCAATGTAGAATGAGAGAAAACGTTGTCATTTTGTACATGAGAAAAGAAAACGGATTTAACTGTTTTAAGAGTGGAGTAAATTCATAGGGATTTGACCTTAAAAGACTTCTGGTTACTTGATAGTGAGGGTTGCACACATTTTTACATCCAGTTCTGTGTACAATCAATCATAGCTGAGGTTTGCACAGACAGTATTACTACACACAGTAAGAAGCTGTTGCATGTGAACTTGCATTTTAAAATCTTTTCCAGATTTTTCATTTTAACTTTACAAACACTGTTACATGTGGCTTTTTACAGACCAGGATGCACGACACCTGGGTTTCACTGAAAGAGCCACTCAGAGCGGAGTAGCATTAAAATGACTCCCTTCATACAACTTTAATCTACAGACGAGTCCCTCCTTAGTCCATCACACAAAGTTCATTTACATTATTCACAAGAATGTACCCAGTCTTTTATGTCTCTCTTTCAGTTAAATAACTAAAGAACAAAGAAAAAAAAACACTTCAGCCTATAGTAATCATTACTCAGCTGTACTTTACTGTACAAAGGATGATACAGTTGAGGGAATGGGTGCCACATAAGATATTTTGCAAATGTTAACAGTGATGCACCTGTGTTGCATGCGGCAACTCCTTTCATCCCATTTAGTCTTTTGCATCCCAATGCTTGGTGTGTGTTTGTTTTAGGGGCGTAGAAAAGGTTTGTCACAGGGCTCCCCATGCGAGCGTTGGCAGGGCGACGGAAAGGTCAGCGGCCATAGCGACGAGCACTTCCACACTGGAGCATATCACAGGACCTCTGATGGGGACACAGAGGAAAGAGTTAAAGGTCAGCATTATATGAGGATTTAGCAACACATGCTAACAGAGTAACACTGTTTGATACGAGTCTGTAAACCTCAGACCTGGTGACACTAACAAATCCTAAAGGATGTCTAACATGCTGCATGAACTCATCAACAGTGACTGTATGTTTACATGTGGGTAATGGAAAGGCCTTAAGTTGTTTAGTCTAATGCAGCCCATGTGATGACGCTAATTGTAACAGATTTATTTGACTGACAGCGCCACATGTGAGGCAAGCAGGGCCATCGTCTTCAGTCTGAACGTTCAAATAAACCCTAGAAGTATATCTTTAAATAAATTGACGACCCAAGGAATTACATGAAATCAGTCTCGCATTTCAATAAAACTTCATCGTAACCCTCATCATAAATTCACCCCCGGGTCAAAGGCGTCTCACGTATCCAACATTTACAAGAGTGAAAATGAGAAGAGGGAACTCTTTTTATGGAAGAGTTAGCCTTCACGCGAGAGACGTAGTAAGATCTAGGAAGGCGTCAGAGGGCTAGGAAAGGTAACGTCCTCTGTTTGCTTTAGGTAGTATTAATGGCTGCTGGCTGGTGTTCAGGCCAACAGGTGAAGGTTAAGATGTAGAGGAGGGGGGGGGGGGGGGGTGAAGAGCGATATGCTGCTTAATTGCTCCGGGGTCCTGTTTCTAACCCCTAGCAGTGTAGCACTTGTGGATAGGGTCTCCTCATCGCCTCGGCTATTCTAGGAATTCCTCACTGGGTTCAAGCCAAAGTCAGTGGGGCTGCGGAATAAAAGCTGTCACCAGTATAAAGATACCCCGCTTCTCCTCATCCTTCCTTACACTATTTATACCGTATCACATCTCCAACCCCCTGGAGTGAAAATGGAGTGCCACACCAGGGGGGACCCCCCCTCTCCGGGGAGACGACCTGCACGTCCATGCAGCACAAGTTCAGGTTCGCTGTCGTTGTGCCAAAGACAGCACTTAGTTAGGTGCCTTGTCCCACAGTCTTTATTAGGTCATGTTAACAAGGCCAAGCAAAAAATCACCGCAGGGCAAATAAGCACACATGCCGTTTTTAAATAAGCCGGGGCTTCATCTGCTGCTTCTTTAAATTTAGTGCATATGTGTACTTGCTAAACCAGACCCTTCAACTCAAAGTGAGGCTGTTAGAATACTTACAGTAAGGACACAGAATGTTATCAAGCTTTTGTGAGAATTTTGTATTTTAATCATTTTTTGGGAATTTGCCCCTGTGTCGATCAATGAAGCTTTTTTCTGTTTTCTGACACCTTGGCCAAAGCAAGACCCTTTCTAAGCTGTGCCTTGAACAAGCTATGCCTTTATTCTCTTTGAGGCTACTGAAAGCATGTTCGGTCAGAAGCTAATGCTAATCTAGTTTGACTAAAATATTCAGTTCTGTAAATTTGACTTTGTTCTCCAAGTGAGGGCTGAGATCGATAACAATTTCAAGTGTAAAGCCGCTTAGCTTAGCATAAAACTGAAAACAGCTTTATTGGCCAAAAGTCATTGGAAAGCAACCACACATTTAAATAATGAACTTGTTACGCTGCTATGGACAGTCTTGCACTAATGTACATTCTCAAAGATATTGAAGTGACTGTTATTTTTGTATATATTGATTGTTGTGCTTTTATTTAGGTCTTAATGTGTGCATATGTATAAATGTATATATAGGTATATACATATTTGCATACATATTTTTATATATATTTGTTTTTATATTCGGAATTGTTGGAAACGGTATTTCGATCTCTCTGTGTGTTCACACAAACTGAAAGATTGACAATAAAGTTGACTTTGATGTTATTTTTAAACCTATGAGCCGTGGAAAAACATAATGTTAATTAAAAAAGTTGTGTTTTTTATGACTTTGACATCATGTTTGTGTTATGGCCTGTCTTGTGTGTCGTAAAGCAGTCTGTACCTGCAACATGCTGTGGCTTCATGGGGCCGGTCTTCTTCATGAATGACTCCTCACTATCAAACGTGAGGATGGGCTCGGGGGCCATGCTGCTCTCAGAGTTATCCCGAGCTCCATTGGTGGAGTTGCCATGATTTGCGAGCTGGATGATATCTTCATAGTGGGCAGTGTCTCCTTTCGAGGACAGACCATTTTCATGTCTCGAGGGCTGGACCCCATTGACTACTTGCACTGAGGGGCTGCTGGGGAGGGGACACACAAAGCACAATATGGTTTAGGTTATGATGGGTCGGAGTGACTCATGCAACAAATGAGTCATTCCACCACCGTCCCTTCACAGGGGTCTTGGAAGCTACTCCGAGATGCGTCGTTAAAATACAAAGAGTAAACACTTTAAGAAACTAAATATCTCCCAGTATTTCAACTGTTTACTGTGCTCTGAATCGTGTGGCTACTTGTGTGTTAGCTTGAAGTTTACAACATTTCCTGCAAACTTGATTGGGGATTTCTCTGGCACTCAAGTTGTATACTGTTCGTGGTGGTCTTGTGTCAACTTGAGCACAAAGAAACGTTTAAATCCACAATAAATATCACTAGTTTTTTTACCTTTCTTTGATTTTGGTCTGTCCATTTTCTGTCTTGTTATTGGACAGGTCGACCTCTGGCTTTGGCTGATACTCAGCAGATGCTAGAGGGAAACAAAGTAAAACAGCTATTTAGCATCCGACAATACCCTGCAGGATCAGGCCTAATCTGTGTCAGGCTAATGTTAAAAGGAAGGAAAAAGGATGCCAAATGTTCCTGGGGTATCCTTCCTGTGTGTCCCAGATCCCCCTTAACTCAGCTCTACTGAGGACATGGCTGTGGTTGGGAGAGTTTCTACACCCCTGACTGGATTAAGGCCCGCCTGCCATGCCTCCGACCACATCAGTGGCTCGATAATGTCTTCCTGCCACAAACAGCATATATCCCAGACCACATTGATTCCCCTTCTTCTTACCAATATCCTGTATGTGACTTGGAAGCTAACAACAGGATGATGTGCAAGTGATATTCTTCTTTATATAGTTGTGTTAAGCCTTGATACTTTTAAATCAAGGCTGAAGACTTTTATGTTTGCAGCTGCTTTGAAATTGATAGACTCATAATGTAATAATAATTTTATTTTTTTAACAGGATGAGTGAGGGTAGAATTACATTACATTCAATATTTCATGACACCAATACATTAATTGGCAACAAAATTTGACTTAAATTAAATAGTACCAATTAATACTTCCTCCCCACTCGTTTTTTCAAAACACTGACAAAACCTCCCCTCCCCCCTCCCACATGCCTCCCTTCCCAAACTGACAACACTCTCACACACACACGACAAATTGATATATTCATATCTCACACTGCACTGTAACTTTTATTCATGTACCTTTGTTATTCATGTATTATTATCTTTGCTTTTAAATGGCATTTTATCATAAGTTCCTGCTGCACTATTTCTTAATGTCTTTCATTTTGGTAAAGCACTTTGAATTGCCTTGTGTTGAATAAATGCTTTATAAATAAACTTGCCCAATTTTTTTCATAACTGGCAGTGATCGGAATTATGCCTTAGCTTCCTTATATTAACACTTGTGTCCACAGTAAATGTCGGATAACTGCAGCAGGCTGTTGCCATGATCCCACTCATCCTCTCTTACTCCCTCAGCCCCACTGCTTGGACAACAGACTAACACATGGCTCCTATTGTGCAGAGAAGAAGAACTCAAACTGCAGCTGTGCAGGATATGAGGCAGTGATACCATCAAATTCTGTACCAAAAGTTCAGATGCGTGGATGACTCACATGGGAAATGAGAACAAAAGTACCTGTGATTTTGTTTATCTTAACATAAGGAAGAGATAAAAGGAGACAATCAGCTGTTATGTGTCAGGAAGAACCATCCTATACGTGGGATATGAAAAATGTTCATCTACAATAATTATTATAATCTATGTGCTTGCTGTAGAGTTAAACTTTTAGAAATGCACTTCTTAGTCCGGCTTCAAAGCATCCACTCTCCCCCTTCACAGCGTACACGCTAATGGAAAATCACTTGAGGCAATTACTGTAGACGATTGCTTCAGATGAAAGGCTTGTAGTGGGTAATGATTTCCCTCCATTACTTAAGGATTTTTCTTAAGAGGGTGGATTGGCTGCTGACGGATGCTCTGCTTACCTTTGCTGCTCTCTGCCTCTTTGTCGTTGACGTTTGTGAGAGGCGAGGACTTTGTCTCCTTCTGTGAAGATGGGGGGTCATGTCAGTCATTTCTATTATTAAGTCCAGTTTTGGCAAGTTTTGGTTCAAAAAAAGAAAAGAATAATGTACCTTGTCGCCTCCATCTGTCTTCCGTGTCCTCTTCATGATCTCGTCCAGACGCTGACGAATACAAAAAAGAGAGGAAGGAATAAGTGTCAGGGAAATGCCACATAGAAAGAAAGCTGTTCTGGGGACTCGGGACACCAAGGGATCAGGACAGATGTGTTTTAAAATGTAGAGAAAAACACTTTAAAGTGGACCCATCATGCTATATTTGAATAATATAGTGTAGGACCATACCTATATAAAGCATATTTATACTTTTTATTTTTCAAAATACCAAACAGATCATGCATTT